ATTTGAATGGCGTATGTATATGACAAATTTCTATAATATACTGAAAATGATGCAATGAATTAGAATCTCTCTTAATTGTCTTGATATACTCTATTTATATGACGAAGTACCACTATAGTTTGATTATCTTATGTGCATCCTTGAAATGAAGCCGTTGTACTAGTTAAATTAGGAGCCGATGAAGCTACTGCGTTTTGCTTCACCGGTTTTGTCTAGCGTATAGTCGAGTGTTTAGAACCGTGCCAAACAGGCCTTGTTTTAGTACCATAGTTAAAAATGTACTCTTCCTCAAACTGAGGTGAGTAAGAAATGATTTTTTTTGAAGGGATTATGAAATGAAATTAGTTCATGGTCGTACTACACTACTATACTCCTCGTCCGGATATGCATCCGGTGCACGCGATTAATTAACGCGCGTTGCCGAGTCAGCAACACCCGAGCCAAAAGAACCAACAACTCCAAATCAAATCTCCGTCGCCGAACTAGTGGCCTGCGCTTGCGCTGACGTGTCGTCCCCGTCCACTCCCTCGAGGCCTCTGCCGCGGGCCCAGCAGCGGCCTTACCCGCCGTCGGCCTGCTGACTCGGATCCTAGTCCCGGGAGCGGCGGGAATGGTCACCGACGCGTCTCCACGCGGGCAGGCTGCTCCCCAAATCGCCTGCCTTCTCGTTGCAACCCCGCGTCTGCCGTATAGCTGTATCTTCTGCAGATATCTCCCCCCGCGCTTCCTCTATATAGTTGTCGCTGAGCTTTGAGCTGCTCCATTTCCGGTTCCCGCAAATCCCCTTCTGTTCCAACAACGCCGGGAGATCCATTCTTGCACCAGTTCGTTAGGTTAGTTTAGATCACATTCCCAGGTAGTTCGGTGGAGGGGAGATTCGGAGGCATCAGGAGAAGCCAGAAGGGAAATCCATGGCGCTGTACGCGGATCTCGACGCGCTCCGGGCGTCGGCGGCCGACGTGCGGATCGTCACGTCGGACGGCCAGACCATCGCGGCGCACTCCTACGTTCTTGTAAGGCACTTCATCTTCCCCCCTTCTTCTGCCTCGGTTTAGTTCTGGTTGACTCGATCGCCGTGTGGTGTGGTTGCTGATCGCGGTCTTTTATTTTTGGTTTGGGATAATCCCAGGGCTCGGCGTCGCCGGTGCTGGAGAGGATGATCGACAGGGCGCGCTGCCGCGGGTGGGGCGCCGCCGCCGACTGCACCGTCGCCGTCCTCGGCGTGCCCTCCGACGCCGTCCTCGCCTTCCTCCACCTCCTCTACTCCTCCAGGTAACGTCAACGAACGAATCTCGGTTCTCCACTAACGAGAGAGGGAAATCAAAGTCTGACGCGGCCGTCGCAATGCGCGCTCGCAGGGTGGCGCCTGGAATGGAGCAGTTGGTGGCCGCGCACGGGCCGCAGCTGCTGGCGCTGGCGCACGCGTACCGTGTCGGGTGGCTGAAGCGTGCCGCCGAGGCCGCCGTGTCGGCGCGGCTCACCGCGGACCGCGCCGTGGACATGCTCAAGCTGGCGAGGCTCTGCGACGCGCCGCGGCTGTACACGCGGTGCGCGCGCCTGGCCGACAAGGACTTCGCCGCCGTCGAGGCGTCCGACGGGTGGCGCTTCGCGCGGCGCCACGACCCGGCGCTGGAGCTGGAGCTCCTCCAGCTGCTGGAGGACGCGGACACCCGGCGGGCGCGGTGGGCGCGGGCGCGGGCGTCGCAGGAGGCGTACCGGCAGCTCGGCAACGCCATGGACTCCCTCGACCGCATCTTCGCCGCCGCCGACGACGCGCCGTCCCCGTCCGCAGGCCCTGCTGGCACGTGCGCGGGGGACGGCGACGGCGACGCCACGTGCCAGGGCCTGCGGCTGCTGATGCGGCACTTCGCGACGTGCGTGCGCAAGGTGGCGCCGGGCGGCTGCGCGCGGTGCAAGCGCATGCTGCAGCTCTTCCGCCTCCACGCCTCCGTCTGCGACCGGCCGGAGCAGGACCAGCCGTGCCGCGTGCCGCTCTGCAGGTGAGATGTTTTACGCAGTAGTAAAATGGTGAATCGATCTATCTCTCCGACTCCGACAGCACGATCGGGAAATATCAGATTTTCTTTTCATTCACAGCTCCACGAGCGTCCAAACAAAATAGTCCGGCGATCGTACGAAGCCATTGCGATCGCCAGCCAAGAATCTGGTTGGCGAGATGCCCTCTCGGACTCGGCGAATAGGAATCGTTCGCTCGTACTGGGTTAGCTTTCAATCATTTCCGTGACAATGACACGAACGGCCGGCATGGCACTGCCTCTGAAAATCACCACCAAAAAGATCTGACCGACCCATGCATATACTACTAGCAGTCTCGCAGGAGTGTAGGAGTACATGCATTCTGAATTGAGGACCCGCCTTGTTTATTTCCCGCTCCTAAACTTTAACTCATGTCATATCGAATGTTTGACACATGTATAAAATATTAAATATAGACTAATTATGAAACTAAATGAATAGATTGAGACTAATTTACGAGACGAATTTTTTAAGCCTAATTAGCCCATGATTTGATAATGTGGTGCTACAGTAAACATGTGCTAATGACGAGTTAATTAGGCTTAATAAATTTGTTTCGCGGATTACTGAGAACTTATATAATTTATTTTATTATTACTATTCAAACACTCGATGTGACACTTGATATGACACCCCTAAACTTTAGCGTATGGATTTAAACACCCCCAGATTGACTTAGACCCCGTTTAGTTCCACTTCATTTTGCAAAATATTTCAAGATTCTCCGTTACATCGAATCTTTGGACGCATGCATAAAACATTAAATATAAATAAAAATAAAACTAATTACACAGTTTAGATGAAATTCACGAGACGAATCTTTTAAGCCTAATTAGACTATGATTGGACACTAATTGTCAAATAACAATGAAAATGCTACAGTACTATTTCGTCAAAATTTTTGCAAACTAAACAAAGCCTTGGTTTTCTTCACTCAGATTCTGACTTGGTTTTTTCAATTTTGCGCAGCCATTTCACGGCGAAGATGCAGGCTGAGAAAGCGGACAAGACATGGCGGCTCCTGGTGAAGAAGGTGACGAGGGCTAGAGCGATGGCCGGCTTGGCCGACAGGCAGGTGCCGGAGGTCGTGGCCATGTCATGGGCGAAGTACAGCACCAGCAGCGAATGGGCGCGAAACTGAGATGAACAGAGGCGGGATGCTTGGTTTTGCCTGTAATCCTTCTGCAATTATTTTTCATTGTTGGACTGCGGCAAAATGCAATCTCACATAAGTAATGGGGTCTGTCTGAGACAAAATGTAGGAGTCGATCTATACCGGATAGATTTAGTGTTTATTTTTAGAGAGATATAAGGAGAAAATAGTGCTGTTGTAGTCCCTATATATTATGCACTCAACTTGGACTTGTGTATAATATGTTCGTTTAATAAATTGTAGTAGTACAAATTCTATCATTTTTTTGGAGTAACAAATAGCATTTTGGTAAACGTTTTCTCTTTCTGAAAAGGAGGCCCACTTTGCTCATTGAGGCATTGCCGACTGCCGCCCTTGCGAGGACAGAAGGGTGTGCCAAGGCCCAAGGGAAGGGATGGTGGGCTAGAGTAGAGAGAGGACTGCTGTGAGCTAAGAGGGCCAGAGGCCTAATATGATGTGAACAGGCTCTTTAATAGGGCCTGCTAAGACGAACTCCTTTCTAAGTTGGGAAGATTGTTAACGAGGCTCAGCCATCCACTAGAAAAAAAATCATTTTCGCTATCGACTTTTGCGATCCTTCGATTTTCACCTATCATTTATAAAGCTGGATCTTTACCATCCCTAAATATTTTAAAACCATTTGTTTTCACGCTAGGCAGTAATGGAAGGCGACTATGTGGTGCCAGATCAGCTGCGAGGGAGATAAATAGGACTTCTTGATAGTTTAAAGGTAAAAAAATGGACTGTACTTTTTCCAAAAAAAAATTATCCTACTATTTTTTGTCTAAAAAATTGAGGCAATTAAAAACACTAAATCTTGTTTGATCCTAAAAAAATCTAGTTCAAAAAATGATGAAACCAATTTTAGATTGTTTTCCCTAAATCATACTCTATAACTCATAAGTATGATTCCTAGATTATTTTTTTTGAGTTTTTTATGGACTCATTTTAGTGTTTATTTGCTAGTAGACGCTCTGGTATCTATTGTAATGAGTCGCTATTGACCAACCTGACTACGTACTCCCTCCGTCCCTAAATATCTGTCGTTTTCGTTTCTCGAGAAATAACTTTGACTAAATATATATTAAAAATATTAATATTTATGATACATAATCAATATCATTGGATATATATTTGAATTTAGTTTTTTAATAAATTTATTTAGAGATATAAATATTGTACATATTTTCTATAAATTAAATTAAAATTATCAACACGTAAATCACGGCGATAAATATTTATGGACAGATGGAGTACGAGACAAAGTGACACAGAGTACCCAATCCCACTTCCCGTTCACCATATAATTTCCGAGCGAACGATCCGACAGCGCTTCCCTTTCCTTTCCCGTCCACCGGTCCCTTTCCTTTTCTGTGTATTGCACGTGACGAGCGCGTGAGCCAGAGGACGCCGCCGAAAATTTCCAGCGTGCTCGGATGGTCCGGTGAACAGACCTCGCCGGATCTGATTCGAGGGATCCCTGCTGGTGGGTGTTCTTCGGAAATCGTCGTGAGGTATTGCTGAGCCGAGTTCTCTTCTCTCTCGTTTCTCCGTCATTGCCATTATCGCGGGATTCGATTAGAGGTGTTCTAGGTCATGGCGCCGCGCGGTTCCAGGCACTGCTGAGTGCCACGTTCCTTCTCTCCCCGCTCCTTCCCTGCCTTGCGTGGCCGCCGCGGGTTCGCCGGCCCCGGCCCCGTCCCGGGCTCCCGCGTCGTCCGGGCGCTGCTGACCGCCACCGCCCTCCTCTCGCTGCGCCTCCTCTCTTTTCGCCGTGATTTGCATTTGTTGGGGGATTCGATTCGAGGCCATGTCGAGTAGTTCTCTAGGTCTTCTCTTTTCTGAATGCGTGCTCTTTCTTTCGTCCTTGCCTACCCTGCATGGCGTCCCCAATTTCCTCGCTGTCGTGCGCGACCGGCGCTGGTTCACCGTCCTCGGCTCCGACCCCGTCTCCCTCGTCGTCGCCGCTCGACGTCCTGGCCCTGATGACCGCCACCGCCCTCCTTTTGCTGCTCCTTTGTCCCCCGTGCTTGCCGTGCTGTTCGGCGACTTTGTCTCATCTGTTACTGCATTTTTAGATGCTTGTTGCTATGAATTGGGGATTATTACTCTACATTGGCAATTCCTGGTGAGCAGAAAGAGCGTGATAGATTTAGATAGATGGTGCCTCAGTGCGTTGACAGATAGCAGCTGAGTTCCAGGGATTGGCCACTGATAGGCTACCACCAGTGATCTTTTTGAACAATCTGTGCATTTGTTGATTCTTTTGGATTGTATATTCTGTTAGGTTGGATTAATTAGTTATGAAATTATAAGAAGGAACTATACTGTCAGCTGATTCATCCTGTTAGTTATGGTCTCTTTTATTAAGTGATTCTGATTTTTTTTTTTATGAAATACATTTGGTTACAGATGGCTGATGAGGGAGATTCTTCTTCTGAAGGAGAAAAGTCCGAACAAAGGGATGAGTTGGAGTTGCATTCTTCTAATTCTGATGTAAGTTTTCATATGCCTAAAATTGGCGAACAAAGGGATGAGTTAGAGACGAAGGTTTTCATATGCCTAAAATTGGCGATTGAGAGATTGGTGGAAATGTGACCTGTTTACAGGCCTAATTCTTTGCGCCCCGGCGGCCGCCGTGCCACCCGCAGCCCGCCCTTTCGCCACCGCGGCTGATCGTGCCCTCGCTGTCGACCTAGCGCACGCAAACCTCACATTTCGAGGCCTAAAACCCTCAGCGGTCGGTGGCCGGCGGGCCCATCCTCCTCGGCCGCCGGGCTAGTGCCTGTTGCCATGGCGGCCCTCGCGCCGCGGATCCTACGGCGGCGACCCGTCGGCTCCGTCGCGTTTCTGGCCTCCATTCGGATTCGGTTAGTCCCCTCGCCCCTCTCCAGCTCAATCGCCGTTTCCGTGCTCGGTCTAATCTTCGCCGAACTGGCTGTTTATTTTTCAGCGATTCGTGGCATCGAATGTGCGGCTCCTCTTCCTCATCTCCTGCTGCGTCGTTCGAGCGTTTGTGGGGATGGTTTGGGCCAGAGGTACACCGGCGGAGGTGGAGGCCGTGGTTCCAGCAGCCCGTGAGGTGCGGGAGCACGGCGATCACGCTCGATACGGACGGCAAGTTTGCGAGGTTCGGGGTCGGCAGCACGGGCGTCACCAAGCAGAAGGGGAGGCAGCAGTTGCCTCCAAAGAAAAGAAGATGTCGAGGAAGGCCAAGGTCAACCAGCTCAAGTGGTACCGCCTCAAGGCCAAGAAGAAGATGAAGTCACCCAACCCCGAAGTTAGGATCAGATACAAGCTTGAAAAGGTCTGAACTTCACTATACTCTGGTGCATTGTTTGTGCTAGCTCGCCAATGGATTTGTTGATTTACTAGGATTATAGCTGCATTGACAAGTTGTTTCGTGGAAATTTAGGCTAAGAGGAAGGAGGAATGGTTGATTGAGAAGCTGAGGAAGTATGAGGTCCCGAGGACACCGGAGCCAGTTCATGACCCTGAGATTCTTACTGAGGAGGAGAAGTTTTATCTCAAGCGAACTGGGGAGAAGAAGAAGAATTATGTTCCTGTTGGGAGGAGAGGGGTTTTTGGTGGTGTGGTTCTCAACATGCACCTCCATTGGAAGAATCATGAGACCGTGAAGGTGGTTTGCAAGCCTTGTCGGCCTGGCCAAGTTTACGAGTATGCTGAGGAATTGACAAGGCTCAGCAAAGGCACAGTCATTGATATTAAACCCAATAATACAATTATCTTTTATCGGGGGAAGAACTATGTGCAACCAAAGGTGATGTCACCTCCTGATACACTTTCAAAGCAGAAGGTAACTAAAGCTAGTCATTTTGTGCTACAGTAGCCTATGCAGCTTGATGTCCAAATATACCTGGTTGTTTTTTTATATATATATACACATCAATCTAATTTACTCAGTTTTATTTAAGGCCTTTATGTAATGATGATATTTTTTCGTTCACCATAGGCCTTAGAGAAATATAGATATCTACAATCCCTTGAGCATACCAGCCAGTTTATTGAGAAGCTGGAGGAGGAGCTTGAAGATTACAAGAAGCATGTTGCTTTATTCAAGAACCGTGAGGGAGTTACTTATGAGAAAATCAGCAATGAAGACACCACTGCTGTTGATCCCGCAACTACCTCAGATTCTAAACGAGCCAACTCTTTGGATATGCTGGCATGATAGATCTTTCAGTAGTGAAGGTTTGGTCAAATCTTGCAAGTCTACAAAGCTCAATGTTCACTATTCATATTTAATATGCTGCCTTCAATTCTGGTGATATAGGGAGCTAGCTTGAAAACTCAGATTCAGGTAGAAGATAATAGCCATAGGATCTTTAAGGGATGAGCTGTAGTCCTGGTTGGTGGAAAGCTGTATTACTTGAAAAATACCTCTATCATCAATAAGGCAAGGCTAGTAGCATGATACAGAGTGCAGATCAGCCTTTTAATATTTGTGCCATCTTTCCTGTACACACCTACATGATAAAATAGGACATTCTTTTGAATTGGCCCCCTTTTATGCAGGGTTTTCACTTCTCAAGCTTCGTTGCTACATAGAAGACAATGAAATTGTAATTTTGGAGCTGGAATGGCAAAACTTTAGTCCTGCACTTTTAGCCTTTTTTTTTTTCCATGGGGATCCAAACAGGTGGATTAAAAGTGAACAAATGTAGAGGACTAAAGTTTAGTCCATTTGCTCCTCAAGGGGCCCTAAACTGGGCTAAAAGTGCCTTGGAGGGTGCAGTGGACACCTAATACCCCCAACCCACCCACCCCAAACAGCCCCCGCTCCTATTCGCATCTCAGGCTCGCAGCGCGCCGCCCCACGCCTCCTGTTCGCCTGCGCATCGTGTGCTAACTGAGTTCTTTTATTTAGGAATCTGGTTCTTCTGGTGCTTCTGATGACAATCACAATGATGGGGATGGGAGTGACAGTGGTGAGAGCACATGCAATGAATCTATAGTGAGTGCTGTTTTTGCTCTATTCATAGTTTTTTGTTGTGTCTTTTTTCCAAATGGATTAAGTAGCACCTTGTACTTATTTGCAGACATAACTTATATATATGAAGATGTATGGTCATGTTTTGTTTAAAAGTTAGTATGTTGAAGTTGACTTTTATAACTTGTGTCTTCAACTTTCAGACATAACTTGTCTGGTTTACTTGTGTTCTGCAAGTTATTATGTTGAACTTGTTGAGTAATCTTTTGTTTGCAAGTTAGTATTTTTCAACTTGCATGTTTAAGTTTATGCAAGTTGAAAATACTTGTGTTTTGGACGTTAATATATTTTCCGAAGAACTTAGCCAGCCAAACTTGACCAAGATTGACCTATAATAATTATGAAAAGAGAGGGGGGTAGAATTAAACCTCCAAATCCGACACGTAGGTTCTGAATAGAAGGATCTGAAGATTGTCTAGTCTCAAATGCTACCTATAGTGTTCCCAGAATTGCAATGACTCTGTTTTCGTACTCTGACTCTGCTACAAATGTTGGTTTGCATTCAGGTCATATGTTTCAGGTTATAATAGCGAGTGAGTTCTTACAGTAATAAGCTAAATGTAGCTTCCAGATAGTTCATTTGTGGTGAATTGACTAAGAAAATACTGACTAGTCTTTCTTTTATTTTTTCAGTCATTCCAAAGTCAATTTTCAATGCCTAAGCTGTTGAAGGTGATAGGTGGTCTTACTGAAGCTCAGATACAGCTGGTTAAGCAATGTGGGTTTGGTTCCATACTTAAGCTGAAATGCAGTATCATGCCTTATAAGCAGCTTATTGTCTGGTTGGCAAGGTGCTATGATAAGGAGACACAATCTATCAAAATCCCAGGAACTCGTGCATTCAAGATAGATGGTTGCACAATCCATTGGATTCTTGGAATTCCTCGTGGTGGAGCTAAGATTAAATCAAGAGCTTCTCAGGAGTTGAAATGTGTTATTGCTAACGATACAACTCCAGGACCGTTAGCTCCAAAGATTCAAGATCTTATTGCCATGATTACTCCTGACCTTGTGGGTGAAAGATTTGGTAGGATCTTCATGTTAGTAGTGCTCTCTATATTTCTGTGCCCGAGCAGTTCTAGCGGAGCCAGCTGTCATTACTATGATGGAATCCGTTCTGTGAAAAAGATCAAGTCTTACGACTGGTGTGATGCAGTGGTCAGTTGTTTGAATTCTGGGCTCTGTAAATTCCAACAGTCCGTGGCTAAAGGAAGCACTTCTGAGAAACCGACTTTGTCTGGTTGCATATTTGTCCTATTTGTAAGTATTTCTTTTTACTGATCACACGCACCTTTTATTTTTTCTAGTTAAATTGTTCACTTCTGAGAAATCTGCTTCTGTTCAGCTGTCTGACTTTCAATTAATGTCGATTCTGTGTCTTGCTTTTGTTTTGTTACAAGTTACAATTCTGTCAGATATGGAAGGTTAGATTGTTCCATGCTATTCAAAACCCATGTTTCTTGTAATGAGTAATGTGCATCACTACAATTGCCTAAGTATTTTTTTGTTGTTGTCTGGAATCATGCTTATGTTGCTTACTTGCTTGCGATATAAGAAATTACTAGTGTCAGAGAATACAGATATGTGTTCCGGTCATGGTCTCTTGGATTTCAGCAGCACAGGGCTTTCTTTATCTTATTTGTAGATTGGCATTAGAAACCACCTATTTGATCCTGCTGAAATTTTTTACAGTTTCCTGTCTCTCTTTTGCCTTCTTTGAAAAGAAGCAGTCTGTCAGTTGTTAAAAACCATAATCATTTTTTTGTTGTCCAGCCTTTTTTGATGACTTCCTATAATCTTCTCTAATTAAATTTAGGTGAAAATTGCCTCAAAAGTTTCTGTAGTACAGTACTGCTCATGCTGTAGCAGACATTGTATTATCTTGGTTTATTAGTTATTGATTTAGATATATGGAAATTCTTACGTGAAACTAAGTATATCATTTGTGCAAGGCATATGTGGCTGCAGCCACCGGATTCTCTGTTGAAGAGCATGCAAAATCATTTCAAGGCTTGTGCACAAATGATTGATGAAGAAGCTGAAAACATTGGAAAACAGAAACTGAATGGACAAGGTGAACAGAATTGTCAGCAGGGTTTCCGTTCAAGTCAAAATTATACATGTGTAGTGCACACCTAATAGCCCCAACCCACCCACCCCAACCCGCCCCCGCTCCTATTCGCATCTCAGCTTGCAGGCCGCCCCCACGCCTCCTGTTGCCACCGCCTGGACTTTGCAGTGCGCCCAACTTGTTGGTCGGATGCCTCCCAGCACCGTGCGCCACGGTAGCAAGAGGTCCCTGCGCTGCACTTTTGCGCCCGGAGATACGCACCGCGCCTGGAGATCCCTGCGGTGGCGGCGGGACGGGCGGCGCAAGCCGGACCAGCTCTCGGCGAGGCTCCTCTTCTTCCTCAATGCGTCCCCTCCTCTTCTCTTTGTAGGCAAATTGGATAGGGTGAAAGACTAAAGTTTTGATCCAAACAAAAGGATTAAACTTTAATTCCTTTAGTTCAAGGATAAATGTGAACTTGATCAAACATGCCATATTGTGAATACTGTGGAGCATTGTTGCACCAATGTTGACGCCAGAAGTGGATTTTTGTGATTCGGTTGGGCGTTGTTGCATGAACTTTGAAACAACTTGTTGGTCTACATTTGTGTGCTTTTTGCAGGTACTGGGAAGATGGGCATCGCAGGACAATAATGGCTTTAAGGATTGGCTTGATAAAAAAAAGGGTAATTATGAGTTATGATGTATTTCACTTAGATACTTTATGTTGATATTGAGGATTAATTCAGGTGCTATGTGCATATTACTAATTTACAGGGTATCCTTACTATCTAGAGATTAGCAGTGGGGAAACACATGACTGGAGTGTTGAATTGCCAAGTTTGAAGATGTGGCCGCTACACTTTCCCATTGCTATGTTTTGTCAAATAATGTAATTTATGACCCTGCACAAAGGAACGTTAATTGAGTTTCTTTATTAGTTGATTGCATGTTTGGGAACAATAGGTATGTACATATTGCCTATGAATGATTCTTCTATGATGATTACGTGTTAAGCTAATGGTAAATAGAAGAGAAGTATAACTAATGAGACCGTGATCGACGTTATGGCATTATTGATTATATATAAGCCACATTTCCAAGGTAGAAATGGAGTGTCTTCATGTATTTAAATTTAAACTTCTCTTATTCGTATCTTGTATCAAAGAAAAATATGTCAAATAATTGAGAGAGGAGCCTCAAAGAGCTCGAATCTTTTAGAAATTGTAAGCCTTGATGCTATATGTAGTTCTTTTTTGTGACATTGGTAGACTTCTAGTTCGTCTGCTACCTTAATAACTTTTGACTCTGGTTATGGATATATCTCTAAATCTCTCCTACACAGGAATGATCCGAAGCACTTTATAAAGGTGGGTATAGGAAATCAACATAACTTAAGCCCTGTTTGTATTGATTAGGACTAGTTGTTAGTCCGGACTAGGACTAGGACTAATTGTTAGTTGGCTAACAGTTAGCTAGCTACAAATTAGTCCTGTGTTGTATTGATCCTAGGACTAATGTATAATATTATTTCCACGCAAATACTATTGTTACTTTTTCGAGATTGGTTGCCCCTATTAGACCCAATTAGCTATGTTTTGCCAACTAGTGGATTAACCACTAGTTGGGGGCTTAGCTAAAGATTAGCTCACCCATTAACTCAGATCCTTATGGACTAACTAGTTTTTAATATATTAAGTGCATAAGTTTATATTAAGAAGGGGAGCATTATGGAGAATGAATGATCCCCTGGTCCTATTGCCAGATTCATTGAGAAAATGGCATAGCTACCAAATATGACTCATAGCTATCAGTGAGGCAACGCATCTTCGTTCGCTTCCGACATCATGTAATAGCTGACAATTAAACTCTATCAATACAATCCTGTCCTCGCTACTTCTTGTCACGTTGGGACTGCCCTGATAGCTCGAGAGTGACCTTGCAGCTGGATTGCGTCCAGTCGTTGTGCGGCTTACGGTACTAGGTACCAGCGTTGATGGCTAACCAAGCGAACAGTACTGCTCAACAACACAACCATCGTCCATTGCAGGTATACGTAATTATGTATGTCACCACTGAACCGACTCAACGGCTCTTAAATGCAGGAAAGAGGACACATGCATGATTGCATCAACTTTTTAACTTCTTGATTAGTACCATACATTCCAATGAAAATATATCTTTGGAGGTGGTTGATTTCACTTTTCAAACTTTAGTCGTTGTCTCACCAGATGGTTGACACATGTATAAAGTATTAAATATAGATTAATTACGAAACTAAATTTACAGATTGAGATTAGTTTGGGAGGCGAATTTATTAAACCTAATTATTCCATGATTTGACAACGTGGTGCTACAGTAAAATGTGCTAATGATGAATTAATTAGGCTTAACAAATTCGTCTCACGGATTACTGACGGATTCTGTAATTTGTTTTTTTATTAGTATCCGAACATCCCATACAATATTTCACGTAACATCCGATGTGACACCTCTTAAACTTTAAGAGCGCGCGCACCATCTATAAAACATGGTTTGTAATAATCGTAAAGTATCATCATTATTCTATTCCCTCGCGGAACATGGTCTTCCGTGTTTAGTTTGTCTAAAAGCAGACGATAACGTGGAACGTTGTTTGCATTGCTCTCCGGTCTCCAGGCTGATGGTCACCAACCATGCCCAGCGACGTACGCATGCACGTCATCCTCGTCCCGTTCCCGGCGCAGGGCCACTTCGCCGCGTTCCTCTCCCTCGCGGCGCGCCTCCACGCCGCGCTGCCCACGGCGGCCATCACGCTCGTGTCCACCCCGCGCAACGTGGTCGCGCTCCGCGCAAGCTCCTCCTCCGCGGCGGCGGCGGGGGCGCCGTTCCTCAGGTTCCACGCGCTGCCCTTCGCGCCAGAGGAGCACGGCCTGCCGGCGGGGGCCGAGTCCGCCGACACCGTCCACGTCCGCCACTTCCTCGCGCTTTTCCAGTCTACCGAGTCGCCCGCGCTCCAAGCCGCCTTCGACGCCTTCCTGGCCGGCGTCTGCGTCGACGCTGCTGAAGAAGAACCGGTCGTCGTCGTCGCTGACCCCTTCCAGGCGTGGACGACCGCCGCCGCGGGCCGGCGCGGAGCAGGCCACGCGTTCCTCGACTCCTGCGGCGCGTTCGGCAGCGTGGTGTACCACTCGCTCTGGAACCACCTCCCGCTCCGGCGCGCGCCCGGAGGCGAGGCGGAGGCGTTCTGCCTGCCGGACCACCCGGAGGTCACGGTCCACCGCTCGCAGCTCCCGGCGCACCTCCTCCTCGCCGACGGCACGGACCCGTGGTCCGCCTTTCATCGCCGGCAGATAGCGCTCGGGTACGGCACCGACGCCGTGCTCATCAACACCGCGGAGGAGTTGGAGCCGGCCGAGCTGCGCATGCTCCGGCGAACCTTGGGCGTGCCTGTCTTGCCCATCGGTCCGCTTATCCGCCTCCCGACACAGCACACCAGCCACCGCGACAGCGTCATGCGGTGGCTGGACGCCCGTGAGAAGTTGAATTTGTCGGTTCTGTACATCTCGTTCGGCTCCCAGAATAGCTTACGGCCAGACCAAATGATGGAACTGGCCGCGGCGCTCGAGCTCACCGGCCGGCCATTCCTCTGGGCCATCCGGCCGCCCGTCGGGCTCAGCGACGACACCGAAACGTTCGGATTGGACAAGTGGCTGCCGGAAGGGTTCGAGGAGAGGGTGCGCTCCAACGACACGGGTCTCCTGGTCCGCGGGTGGGCGCCGCAGCTGAGCATCCTGGCGCACGCGTCGACCGGCGCGTTCCTGAGCCACTGCGGGTGGAACTCGGTGCTGGAGAGCGTGGCGCACGGCGTGCCCATCATCGGGTGGCCGCTGCAAGGGGACCAGTTCTTCAACTGCGAGACGCTGGAGCGGGAGTGGGGCGCCTGCGTCGAGGTGGCGAGGGGCAACGCCGAGGGCTCGTCGTCGGTGGTCGAACGGCAGCGGCTGGCGGAGGTCCTGGAGACGGTGATGGGGGACACCGCGAAAGGGGCTGAGATGAGGCGGCGCGTGAAGGAGATTCAGGAGCTGATCGGCAGCACCCAAGAGAATGGCGGTGCTTCCTCCGCGGAAGCGTTAAAGAATCTGTTCACCGCGATGCTGCATGCTACAGATCATATTAATGATGGATGATGGTATTTACCATTGCAAGCTGAGTTCTATGGATTATATTAATGACGGATGATGGTATTTACTCATGCCACTACCATTTGCCTGTAATCATTTTCCTCTAAATTCGGACGGATCAGAGTTGCTTGCTGCAGGACTGTCGCAAAGCAGGCAAGGTGCAATGGTCACCTTCTCATATGAGCACCGAGAAAATTCAGATTGAGGAGACAAACTCATGTTTGCTTGCACTTGCAGGCCTAAAACTTCTCCCTCTCTAATTTACAGATGCAAGTACTTTGATCATCGGCCTACACGAGGGCACCCACAGTGCTGGGTCGACCCATCAGGGCCACGAACACCAGCTTCGAGTCGACTCTCTCATCCTCCAGTGGTTGTCGACTCATCGTGATCTGATTGCGAATAAAAAACCCTCTTTTGGACCCGGCCCACTCGCACGACTTCATCCTCCAGTGGTTGTCGACCGTATATGGAATATTGATAAATGAAAAAAAAACTAATTATATGATGATGCGACAAACATTTTAAAAACCCCTTGGCTTTTGGACCCGGCCTCAAACTAAACACGGCGTTGGTTGAAGTCTCCGTCCCCTTTAACCCCCGTCTCCTTTCCGCATCATTCTTCACGAGCAGGCAACGGCGGCGCATCCAGATCTCGGCCATTCGGCGACAGCATCAGGCGCACCTCACCTCTCCGCATCGCCTCCTCCCTCTGCCTCAGTCGACTCCAGCGGCCAGGCACCCGCCGTACGAGGTTGGCTCCGAGCTCGGCGCGCGGGGGACCCGTCCGCGGCGGCGCGGCGAGGCGCGGACTGCAAGCAGAGGGCTGCTTCAAGGAGCAGCTGGATGTCGCGGTCGGCTGCGTACATGGAGGTCGAGGCTCCGCCCGCCGCTGTCGCAGGAGGACACTTCCACTCGTCCGCGTCGAGGGGAGCTGCCCCGTCGATCTGTTACAGTTTTGGTGGGCGGGCATCGATCTGTTAAATTCGATTTATGCGTGCATTCCAACGTTTGACTTATACACTATGAATCTTGGATTTTCTGTTTCTTTTCCAAAATGATTTATCCGATCTGAAAGTTGGGTACAGAAAAAAATGGATCATGGAAACTAAATGGGGCAGTACCACTTATTTTCCATCTTATGAGCAATGCGTACACAATAAGATTGAAAAGATAAATTGGGATTACAACAAAAAAAAAACACTAGAGAAAAGTGTGCTACACGAACATAGATTATTCTAAGACAGACTAGTCTGTATCCTGATCTTGTGTACTTCCAAATCTTTGCCATATATGCTCTGTCAAGTCAGCCTTCAGGCGACGATGCATAGACCTGTCATGAATAGCTGTGTTTATCTCGAGCATCGTAGCAAACTCGTTAATGGGCCCGTGACGATAATTGACCAAGGCAGTGGAGTTTGTCTGATCATAGTTGTGATCATTGCAAGCCCCATAAGAATCCCTTTCATCCTCTATGATCATGTTGTGCAATATAATGCAAGCATACATGATCTGAGAAAGTGTTTCCCTAGTCCACATACGAGCTGGGTTACTTACAATAGCAAAACGAGCTTGTAAGACACCAAATACACATTCCACATCTTTCCTCACTTTCGCCTGTTTGATGGCAAAAACTTTATCCTTATCACTTAAAGCCTCTGGTAATGATTTCACAAATGTCACCCACTCAGGATAAATTCCATCTGTTAGGTAATAGCCCCTGTTGTACTCATTGCCATTAACCATAAACTGAACTTCTGGAGCTCTCCCTTGCAACACTTCTGTGAATATTGTTGATTGATTCAACACATTAATATCATTGTTTGATCCTGCAGTACCAAAAAAGGCATGCCATATCCAGAGGTCATGGGAAGCAACGGCTTCTAGCATGACGGTGGCCTTTTGTTCAGCACTAAAATTTGCAGTATCGACAGTGACTAGCTTTAGGTATTTGTTCAATTTCTTGTCCCTTGTCTTCTCTTCATTTGCTGCAGCTTGCTTAGCAATGGCTTTAGAATGCTCACTTATTGCTTCAGCCATTTTTTCAATTGCTTGTAACTTCTTCAGCTGGAAATCATTGAAAGAGTTCACTATATCATTTGACAGGGAGCCTTCTGAACAATGTGATGATACTTTCCCTTTCCCTTTTCTTTGTGCTTTTGCTGCCTTCTGGCCAATAGGGAGACGATGTACTTCAGCACTAGCTTCGTCTGTATCTTGATTTGAAGAAGAGGTGTAAGCTCCAGATGCATTTAACTTTGTCCTTTTATTCTCTATTGATGGGTACACTCTCTCCCATTTAGGCTGCCCCTTCACTTCTCTCCACCAATATTCCAATAGGAATGGCTTGTCTGAATTTTCATTGCTGAAAACTGCATGAGCTCTCATCATTATTTGATCATCTGATTCACCACTAGCATGTGCATTTTTCATTCTATTCCAACAATGATTGAACTTCATCACTATAGGATGATATCTATTCCAGTGATTTTTCAACACGGACGCTGACCTTCGCTCTTCTTTAGGTGAATGCTTGTTGTATTCTTTGGCGACATCTTTCCAGTAGTGATTATATTTCTTGTCAACGCCTTGTATTGGATCATTGGAGTTGTTGAGCCATGCACGTACTAGCCTTAGGTTCATAGGCTTACTCCACAATCTACGCCCAGATTTTTTATTTTCTTCCTCTAGTCTGCTCTCACTTTGCTCTTGATTGATTACAGGAACCCCATGTGATGGCTGTGGAACAGAAATGGGAGACTCAGATTCATCAGCACGTGAACCACTACCACCAATGCCTCCAAACAAGCCACCTGATCCAACCGGAGATGATGGATCACAGGCCATAGCAGCTCTGAAACTTCCTTGCTGGAACTGCATCAAACCTTCATGGTAAGGAGTACCATGGTAGCTTGATGTTCCACGAAACTGTTGAAATCCTAGTTGAACCACAAAAGGATTGAAATGATGTGGATAATGGGACGGAATGGGTCTATATGGTGGTGGTCGAAAATCATGGTCGAAATGAGGTGGAGGGAAATTTGGATATTGCTGGTTGTAGCCACTTTGTGGCCCTTGAAATTCTGGGCTTGAGGTTGAAGAGTTCAACAAATTTGTGAAGCCACCAGTAGAAGATGGGTCCATGCTTGTGTTCTCTCAAATGGAGAGGAGAGTTTATTTGTATATCTGTTTGTGTAATGAACAATGGCTAGCTAGTTGGGTTGAGTAACGGTTGGGTGGTTGGCAGGTTGGCCGTTGTTGTACTGTATCAAAAATATTTGTTTATTCTCCATGAATCGGCTCAAGATTTTGAATCGGTTCCTGACATCTTCCATGAGCCGGTGGTACTCCAGTGGTGATGAGTCGACTCATGGGCTGCCACCTCAGCTCATGAGTCGGTTTTCCACGGGTCACTGGAGAAGCCCTGAAGGCACGCTGATTGGTTTTCAGTTTCTGGCCTGGCCAGGCCAGGGATGCAAAGTCTCCTTAAGAGCATCTCCAGCCTCTCAATACAACTCCCCTAATAAGATGGTATTAGGGTGGTCTAATATTATTTTTTGAACTATTAGAAGAGATACTGTAGTAGACCATCAATAATCTCCCCTAGTATGATGGACCCATCTCCCCTAGTATGATGGACCCATCTGTCAGTTTATTTATTTTCCTTGTTTTTCCCTTTTTCTTTTCTCTCCCCTCGTTCATCCTCTCCCGCATCGGGACTTTGTGATATGCGCCGCCGCCGAACCACGCCGCGGAAGCGAGTCCGCCATGCCGTCGGCAGCTTGCCTAGGGCCAGCCGCTGATGGATGATGGGTCGACGCCGTCACGGGATCTCTCCCACGCCACCATTACCACACAGCGCCGCCCACCGCTCGGCCGCTCCCAGCGCGAAGCTCGAAGGCGACCACCACGCACGCCCCCACCGCCACGTAAGCGGGTGGCGACATCTCCGGCCTAGGTCTTTCAGCTGTACTAAGGACATATCTTTCAGCTGTACTTCGAGTTGAACCAGGACTTAATGTGTCATGTTGAAGGACATATCTTTCAGCTGTACTTCGAGCATACCACAACAGTATGTTAAATATTCTAGTCACTTTCTCGATGTCATAGTCTTTTCATAGTAACTTGTGATAGTATGACTAATCTATGTCTTTTTGTTTAGGAGGTACTGTTAGACTGCCATATTATGGGCTGTATCTTGGGTCATTAGCATTGTTGTATGGGCTATAACGCCCTGGGCTTGGGCTAAGTGCGCCTGTAGGCGCCCCTTGGGGTTTTATGGTAGATGATCTTGGTTTAGGCAAGGATCACCGTTGATTGGGTGTTTCTATAAACCCTTGACAATCCTTGCCTATATATTTTGTATTCATTTAGTACCTCCATAATCAATCTACTGAGTTTTCCCGAGCCACCTCTTCTCTCATGGTATCACGAGTCTGGGTATTCACCCTGATTCCACCTCCGCTGCCCTAGCGCGCCTTCCCCCTCGGCTGCGCTCCTCCCACCCATCTGCGTCGGCTTCCCCTGCTGTGCTGCGATGCCTGGGACTCCTCCCCCCTCTCCCAAATCGGCAGCCGCCGCCGCCTCCAAGGCTGCTGCCGCCGCCCCCACGTCGCCGCAATATCCAGCCTGGACTTCGATGCCTAGGCCAAGGCTGCTGTCGCCGCCAAAGCCGCCAATGCGGATGCCGCTGCACGCCTACGCGCAGCCAATCGGAAAGCTGAGCGCGATGCCGCCCTCGCGCGCGCCGCCGCTGTTGAGAAGGAAGCCCAGACCGCCACTCTGGAGCGCGACGCCGCCACCGCCCGCGCTCGCGACGCCCTGGCACGCGCCGAGCGGGAACGTGCCGCCACTGGCGCTCCCGCAGACGGGGACGGTGAGGACTTCCTCTCCGATCATGCCTCCGACCACAACGACAACACCGATCTACATCAAACCCTCCTTCTGCACGAGGCTGCTGCAATCGCCAACCTCCACTCCCGGGCAGTAGCGGTCCAGAACATCCGCAACCTTGTCACGGTTGTTCTCGACCCAACACCAGCAACTTCAATTGGTGGCGCGATCAGGTCCTCCTCATCGTTGGGAAGTATTCTCTTCAACATCATGTCCTACAGGACTTACCGGCGCCTGGTTTCCCTGACTGGCAGCGCATGGATTGCGTTGTCAAGTCATGGATCCTTTGCACCATCTCCGACAACCTTGCCGCGATGATCTCAGCGCGCAACTCCACTGCCCACGACACTTGGCGCGTCGTGGAGTCCCAGTTCTTCAACAACCGCGAGACACGCGCCCTCCTCGACGCCAAGCTCCGCAACTTCGTTCAAGGTGATCTGTCCATCACCGATTACTGCAAGGAGCTCAAGTGCATGGTAGACAAGCTTGGTGACTTAGGTGAAGTCATCACCGACCGCACCCTCGTCCTCAACCTCATTCGCGGTTTGAATGAGCGCTTCAAGACCGTCGGCATGCATCTCTCGGCAAGGGCGCCCCTTCCCCACATTCCTAGACGCGAAGGCTGACCTCCTCCTGGAGGAGCTGACGATGGAGAACACGTCGTCATCTCAATCAACAGCGCTTGCCGCTTCCACCACTACGTCAGCCCCGTCGCGCCCTACCTGCTGTTTAGCAGCTTGTAGCCTCCAGCGTAGGCTCCGGGGGCGGCTCTGCTCCATCCAAGAACCACCACGAAAAACGTGGCAGCCGGGCGAACGGCGCTGGTGGCAACCCGGTGCCCAGTGGTATGCAGCCAGGTGCCCAGTCTAGTGCGCCCTCTGGTGGACAGTTTAAGCCTGGCAGCTCCGGCTCCGGGGGAGCGCCATGGCCCTCTTTCTACCGCCCATGGATCAGGGCCATCCAAATGTGGCTCGACCACGCACTGGCGGCGGCCTCCACTTGCGCCCATCGCTCAGACCCTCAACACGCTCTCTGCTAGCCCAAAGAGACTTCTTCAACAAAGATGTTGTGCCCACCCCAGTTATGGAAAACACAGGGTCCTAGACTGCACCACCCCGGCTACTACCAACCGCTCGTCGGGCTTCCTACATGGGATCAGCCATCTCTGACCTCGACATTCAGCACCATGACGCAGCAGCAGCCATAAAACAACAATGACTGGTACTTCGATTTAGGTGCAACCTCTCACATGTCCTCACATTCTGATTCACTTTCACATACTACTTCTTCGCGATATCCTACTCCATCGTCCATTGTTGTCGGTAACAGATCCTTACTCCCGTTACATCCACTGGCTGTACAGTTATTTCACCATCTTTACCTCTTAATATGTGCTGGTTTCCCCACAACTTATTAAGAACCTAATTTCTGTTCGCCAGTTCACTATCGATAACAATTGTTCTATTGAGTTTGACCCGACTGGGTGTTCTATGAAGGATCTTCTGTCTCGAAACGTGATCGTCAGGTGCAATAGTTCTGAACCGTTGTACCCTCTCCGGCTACCAGCTACTCACTCCTTGGTCGCCGCCACCGAGTCTTCACTTTGGCATCGCCACCTCGGTCATCCTGGACATGAGGCCCTCTCCAAGCTTGCGTCGAGTCTTCCTACTTGTCATCATGATACTACTACTGTTTGTCATGCATGTCAATTAGGTTGTCATGTGCGTCTTCCATTTCATTTGTCAACTTCTCGAGCGTCCAATAACTTTGATCTGATACATTGTGATCTGTGGACATCACCTGTTCTTAGTGTCTCGGGCTATAAATATTACTTGGTTATTCTTGATGATTGTTCACATTATTTATGGACGTTTGCTCTGAAGTTGAAATCTGACACTTTTTCGACACACGCTCACTTTTTTACCCTTGTGTCCACCACCTTCAAGGTAGTTCAGTGCGACAACGGTCGTGAGTTTGACAACTCTAGCTCCCACACGTTCTTCCTTACCCATGGTGTTCGCCTCCGCATGTCATGCCCATACACTTCCTCCCAGAACGGTAAGGCCGAGCATATCATTCGTTCCATTAACAATGTGATTCGCTCCCTACTGTTCCAGGCTTCCCTACCACCCTCATTCTAGGTCGAAGCTATGCAGACAACCACATATCTCATTAACATCTTGCCCACCAAAACACTGAGCTCGTCTACCCCGCACTTCGCCCTCTTCGGCATAGCTGCCCTCCTACGATCACCTACGTGTTTTTGGCTGCACTTGTTATCCCAACTTGTCCGCCACAACTCCCCACAAACTTTTCCCTCAATCCACCTTGTGTGTCTTCCTGGGATATTTAGCTCATCATAAAGGATATCGCTGCCTTGATCTCTCTTCCAATAGAGTTATCATCTCTCGTCACGTTGTCTTTGACGAGTCAGCATTCCCCTATGCTAAGCGTGCCCCCACTCCATCCTCGACAGACTTTGATTTTTTGGACATTACTGACTATGCGCCAGCTTCCATCGGACCAGCACATAAGTTTCTCTCTACAGGTACTGGTACTTCGACACTCGCACAACCACGTGCGGCTGTGGCTGACACTGATGATGACCTGGCTGGTTCAGCAGCGCTTGATGCGCTCCTAGCCGATCCACCAGTTGCGCCTGCACCCTTGCCCGCACAGCCACATGCGGCCCCTGCCTCGCCTTCGCCCGCATAGCCACGTGCGGCCACGATGTCACCATCGCCTGCACGGCCACGCGCGGCACCGACTTCTTCGACCTCACCGTCACCTACAGCTTTGGCCGAGCCGCACGGACCTCCGCCCCATTTCTTGCTGCTGCCCGTCTTCCCGGTGCTCGCAATCATCACGTCTACATCGCCATTTGGAGCCCCTAGGCTGTTGTCCGAGCCTAATCGCTGCCTTTACGCGCTGGCGGAGAGCGATTCTTGCGCTGCGCCTGCCCGCACGCTTAAGGGTGATGTTGTTGTGCCCCCAGTGACCAACCAGCACCCCATGTCCACGCGCGCGAAGGCTAGTTTCTGGATTCCTGCTCTCTATCATGCTACGCCGCTGTCTCTAGTGCCCAAGACCTTCCGCAGCGCACTCGCTGATCCGAATTGGCGTGCTGCTATGGAGGAAGAACATGCTGCTCTTCTCTAGAACCACACATGGGATCTTGTCCCCGCCCCCTTGGGCTAATGTGGTCACTGGGAAGTGGATTTTCAAGCACAAGTTTAATGCCGATGGGTCAC